ATATATATTTTGTTAAATTTAATATTAATTACATTAAATCGTATTTAATAGATATATATACAGTTGAAACAATTAATATATAAATAAGTGATTCATATAAAACTAGAAATATATATATTTTATTTATTATTCTTTTGGATAAAATTAAAATATGCTTTAGAATCTTATATATATATATATATTTATTTTCTTTTATAATGAAATAAACATGTTATATGCTATTTTATTTTACTTTAAGGTTGTTTATACTTATTTATTCTAATTGTCATCTCTTTATATATTATAATAACCATATTAAAATATATATAAAAAGCAAATAATAAGTAATTTTGTTTCTAACATTACATATAAAAAAATAAATATAATAAATGATAAATTGAGAACTATGTAATATTAACTAAGCTTATGTCATTATATTAATTTATGTTATTGAAGAATGCAATATTATAATATAAGTATAAAAATATATGTTACAATAAAAAAAATGAAGATATATTTATGAATTAAATGGAATGATTTCTTAATGTAATAATAATTAAAAGAGATACAATAAAATAAATTTATTTATATAAGCATATAAACCTTTTAAAAAAAAAATGGAAAACTATATATATAATATGAATTTATATTAAAACATATGATTATATTATATTTTTTATATTATTACGGAATTAATATATATCTATAATTCTATATATATACAAATATTGTTAGAACTATTTATATTTTTTTTCATTATAGAAGGAACAAGAAATAATAGAAATAAAAAAATAGTAATAGCTAAAATATTAACTGTTCCTTCTGAAGTATTAATTTATTATATACAAATTCATACACAAGTACAAACTGTAAAACATGATATTGTATTATATAAATTATTCGGAAATATATATTTTTTATAAATCATAGCAACAAACATATTTATATTTATGAAAATACGTACATTATATAGTAAACTTAGATTAATATTCTTTCAATTATTAGTCATGATTAAAAGTATACAAGAAATAGTTAATGTAAAATATTAATTTAATATGAAACATAAATAAATATATGTATATTAATGATATATTTAAAGCATATCTTTTTCCTCAATTAAATACATATATTATTGTTTATTTACTTAGTTTTTTGGTACACTTCATGAATATTTAAATTTTATATATTTATTGTATTACATTATTTTGCATTTTTATTTAGCAAAAATGCCGTGCACAAATTTCTGAATGCAATACAGGGGAATTATTTGAAGAATTGGATCGTGCGTTGGATGCTCAGTATGATTGTGAATATGGTTGCACTATAGATCGTATTCGTTTGCCTTCGAAAAATATTCTTAAAAAGTTTTATATATTCTTGGATAATTCTTTAAATAATTTAAATAATTTTGATCCGAACGTATGTAATTATTTAAATAAATGGATAGAATATAAAGGAAATGAATACAAAAAAATTGATGAGAATATATTTGATATGCAGAACTGGAAAGAAGATATGAATACTATATTCAGTAATAAAAATACTTTAGAACAATGCCCAAATAATGAATGCTGTAAATATTCTTCAAGTATATCTATACCTCCTCCTGTAAGACGTTTAATTATACCTGAAGAGGATGATGAAGGAGATGACAGTGAATTATTTGTATTTAGTAGTGTTGATACTGAAGATATTGGTGAAAATGAAACTCACGCTTCTCATTTTGTTGCATTACCAATAAGAAAGATTATTTTTCTTACTTTTTTAGTTATAATAACAGTTCTATTTATTATTTTTTTTTCATCTAAGGTAATATAAATATTATTAAAATTCCTTATTAGCATCTAACATTTATTTAAATAAATTAATAATTATAGATATTTCAAAAATTATATATATATTTTTTAATACTAATTTTATATATAGAATGCAAAAATAAAAACATTTCTAGGTAATATCTATAACTGGATGATCCTAAAGAGTAATCGTACTATGAATAGAAATAGTATTGCATATAATGATGATTTTCTATTATACTCAACAAACGAGAGTATTAATATAGGATATGTATAATTAATATTTCATCATTAAAATAAAACTATTAATCTCACTTTTAACTGTACAATATTTTTATAGAAATATTAATTTTATTAAAAGAACTATATGCTGAAAGGTTTAGGGTTTCAGGGTTCAGGGTTTAGGTTTAGGTTTCAGATTTAATATTTTAAAAGTATCAGTTATTATTATGAATATTTATATATTTTTTAATTTGATTTTGCTCTGAGTTTTATTTTTGTTTATTACAATGTGATTTATTTGAGTTCTATAAAAGATTCATCGTTTTTATATAACTATATTGGTTAAATTTATTGATTATTGCAAACTTATTGAAATTAGTGCTCTTTATTACTTTGTAAGAGATCTTTTGTTAATAAATGGAAAGCACACAAAGAGTATGTGTTGTACTATTTTTAATTTAGTATATATTGCAATATTTTGTAAATATAATGAATTGTATGAAGTAATATAATATTTTTAAACTAAATTATATGATTTATGGAATAAATTGATCATATCTGTTATTTAATTATTTATTTATTATTTAATTTCTGAATGCATGTGTATATATACGAAATGTACTGATTTTATGAATGACTATAGATTATACTTAATAACTATATAATATAGTTATATATTGTTAGGGAATCATTTATTTTTATGCTGTTATATTTTTTATTCCAAAAAAATTTAGCATGGATTATAAGATATATTCACTCGTGTACATTAAATATAAAGATAATTTATTTGTCTAA